AGAGACCAAAAAAACCTCTGCCGTCATCACAAAATAGTTACCATCTGCTCAATCCTGATACTTTACAAGTAATGTTATTTTTTTTTAATCTGAAAAAAATATACGTAAATCTTATCAGCTCTACATTCCATCAATCAATCTTTCATACGATCAATAATTAATTAGAATTATTTTTCTATTAAAAACTGAAGTTGAAGAAAGACAGCTAACACTGTAAGCTAAAACCAAAAAAAGATAAACTAACAATTTACACAAAACACTACTAGAAAACTTGAGTTGAGCATCACAAACAACAATAACACAACGCAGTTTACTCCCTGGTTTCCCTAGCTGAAGGCTAACCTAATGCTTTTTCGCCAGTCAAACGCGTCAGAGGACCGGACAGTGGCTACAACATGGTACAAGTACAACATGGTGACAACTCCCATTAACGAGTAACAGAGGACAGGATTACGGCTACTAAATTATTGCACTAGTGTAACATGGTGACAAGTTCCGTTAACGAGTATCAGAGGACGGGATTGTGGCTACTAAATTATTGCACTGGTGGAACACGGTGACAAGTTCTGTTAACGAGTATCAAAGGACGAGATAGTGGCTACTACATTGTACAAGTACAACATTGTGGCAAATCCCATTAACGAGTATCAGAGGACGGGATTGTGGCTACTAAATTTTTGCACTCTTGGAACACGGTGACAAGTTCTGTTAACGAGTATCAAAGGACGGGATAGTGGCTACTACATTGTACAAGTACAACATTGTGACAAATCCCATTAACGAGTATCAGAGGACGGGATAGTGGCTACTAAATTATTGTACTAGTGGAACATGGTGACAAGTCCCATTAACGAGTATCAGAGGACGGGATTGTGGCTACTAAATTATTGTACTAGTGGAACATGGTGACAAGTCCTATTAACGAGTATCAGAGGACAGGATAGTGGCTACTAAATTATTGTACTAGTGGAACATGGTGACAAGTCCCATTAACGAGTATCAGAGGACGGGAGTGTGGCTAATAAATATTGCACTATAGTGGAACATGGTGACAAGTTCCGTTAACGAGTATCAGAGGAAGGGATAGTGGCTACTACATTGTACAAGTACAATACGTGACTTTGCCATTTAAAATCATTAATTCAATAGGTTCCATATTTTTCTCCAAATACAGTGAGATCCTTTTACAAATCGAACAAGACTAGTTCTATTTGAGACAACGCTAAGCACAAGATTTAAATTGATAAAATTTCAAATAACAAGTGATAACGGCCCCTCAACAGGTCAAACAAGGAAAAACTTTGCTTCATACGGATGCTTCTAACATGAATAGTTATTTATTTTCTGTGTAGTTTTTAATTACATCTGAAAGAAATTTCCTATCAAACAGAAATCAGTTCAATGTTTTCCTGTATATGCATGTTTGTATACAGAACATGTACTTACATCAAATAATGTTTGTGTGTGCATGTATTTATACAGAACATGTGCTTACATCAAATAATGTCTGTGTGTGCATGTATGTATACAGAACATGTACTTACATCAAATAATGTCTGTGTGTGCATGTATTTATACAGAACATGTGCTTACATCAAATAATGTTTGTGTGTCCATGTATGTATACAGAACATGTACTTACATCAAATAATGTCTGTGTGTGCATGTTTGTATACAGAACATGTACTTACATCAAATAATGTCTGTGTGTGCATGTATGTATACAGAACACGTACTTACATCAAATAATGTCTGTGTGTGCATGTTTGTATACAGAACATGTACTTACATCAAATAATGTTTGTGTGTCCATGTATTTATACAGAACATGTGCTTACATCAAATAATGTCTGTGTGTGCATGTATGTATACAGAACACGTACTAACATCAAATAATGTCTGTGTGTGCATGTATGTATATAGAACACGTACTTACATCAAATAATGTCTGTGTGTGCATGTATGTATACAGAACATGTACTTACATCAAATAATGTCTGTGTGTGCATGTATGTACTTACATCAAATAATGTCTGTGTGTGCATGTATGTATACAGAACACGTACTTACATCAAATAATGTCTGTGTGTGCATGTTTGTATACAGAACATGTACTTACATCAAATAATGTTTGTGTGTCCATGTATTTATACAGAACATGTGCTTACATCAAATAATGTCTGTGTGTGCATGTATGTATACAGAACATGTGCTTACATCAAATAATGTCTGTGTGTGCATGTTTGTATACAGAACATGTACTTACATCAAATAATGTCTGTGTGTGCATGTATGTACTTACATCAAATAATGTTTGTGTGTGCATGTATTTATACAGAACATGTACTTACATCAAATAATGTTTGTGTGTGCATGTATTTATACAGAACATGTACTTGCATCAAATAATGTCTGTGTGTGCATGTATTTATACAGAACATGTGCTTACATCAAATAATGTTAAGCTTTTTTTACATAAGGGCTGAACTCCAACAGACACGTATCTCTTCTTTTTTTTTTATCTTTTCGATAAATGTCTTAAGGGAGCTACCATTTGATTTTTATGGGGGGGCTAGGATGAAATTTGAAAAAAATAGGCAGGACAGGAGTTTTGAGTAAAAAAAAAGGCAGGATGAGATTATTTGCAAAAAAAAAAGGCAGGATGACAATTTATGTAAAAAAAAAATGTCAGGATAAACTAAAAAAAAAGGCAGGACCGAATAGAGTGAAAAATAAAAAGGCAGGACAGAATAGAGGGAAAAATAAATAGGCAGGACAAAATTTTTCATGCTAGCCCCCCCCCATAAAAATCAAATGGTAGCTCCCTAACAGGCCATTGAACATTAGTTTTAGAATTGATGAAATGATAATTTGCAAATATTTTGTTTTCACGACGATTGCTTTAATATGTGTTGTTTATTTCACGTGCTATGTACGAGCAATGTTATACAAAGTTCAGTCTTCAAAGAGATGAAGCATTTTCCGTGTAGACTGTTACGTACAAGAAAAATGTCCGTACATTTCAATATCGGAAAATAATTAAAGTGAAGACGATTTAATGTTTGTACTGAACTTTCTTTTTGACTGGTCATTCAACTTACAGGTTGTACTTAACTTTCTTTTTGACTGGTCATTCAACTAACATAGTTTACATAATTTATCTATAATTCTAAAATAGCAATTTTAAAAGTAGTATAACAAATGAAACCATGTTTGTAACACTAGTAATTACTGAAGATTCATAAGTCCAAAAGTACCGTGAAGCTTGCATGATGTCACAGGAATGTATGTATGTCTACGCTACATTTAGTTGTCCTGTACAGTCAAGCCTAAGGCGTTCGGACTGTTTTTTTTTCCCTCAATTATTTTGACAATTTTGAGTGAATCATATCGTGTATTATAATATGAGATTTTTTTTTTACATAAATACACAAACTACTGTATTTCCTGATTTCATTATACTTGTATTTTTTAGTTATGACATAATTGAGTTTAGATCGACACATTAATTTCAGAACTATTCTTGTTGCTCCGAGATGCTCTTAAGAATCAAACAAGTTGCCTTTTGAAACAATGCATAACCCTTTTTTTAATTGATAAAATTCCAAAGCAACAACAAATATGAAGCTCCTCCCACTTTTCAAATAAAGATAAACTTCGTTACTTCCGGTTGATCCTTACAAGAGTAGTCATTTATTTTAAATATTTTCTGTAGGTTGTATCCTAATTAACTGCAAAACGAGCGTTTGGCTAAGGTTATTTCTCTTGAAAAGAAATGGGCGGAAAAGGGGGAGGGGGAGAATAGAAGAAACCAAAGAACCTGCTTTGAAGATTCAGACATGTGGTACAATTATTTCATATTTGTTCAATCGAAGGGAGCTACCATTTGATTTTTATGGGGTGGGGGGCTAGGATGAAATTTGAAAAAAGACAGGACAGGAGTTTTAAGTAAAAAAAGGCAGGATGAGCAACTTTGCAAAAAATATCAAGTGGTAGCTCCCTAAACACTTTTAAAATAATGAACACGTTATTTCTTTAGGAGTGTTCCTCTTTGTAACAATTCAACAACATGAAATGAATTTTATAAGAAAAACGCGGACTCACTCTCGTATCTGCTGGAATTACACAATTGACTCTTATCCTTAACTTTCTTTTAATAGTGGATGTTGATAAATACCATATTTCATTCAGTGTGATCGAACTAGCACTTGTAATAATAGGAAAACATAGAAAGCCAAAGTGAGCAGTTTAGGAGTTGTCTGGACTGAGAAAGCTCTTTATATATGAAATTTAACAACATAAAGAACTTGTAACCGACATATATAGTGCGGAATAAGAAGTTCGAAGTTTATTTCCCAACAAGAAGAAACTAACAAAAAACACTTTAAAAATTCCGCAAGTAATGGCTATGTCAGATCATGGTAATACAATAAAAAACCATAATTTATACATGTGACAAAACAAGCATTCCATATTGATCCTCACGTATCCGGGTGTTTATACCGCAGGTACTGGCTCTGACTATTGTTTTTAAACAATCAAACTGGCTCTGACAATTTTTTTAAACAATCAAAATATGGTCAAACTGAGTCTCTTGTAGACGAATTGCGCGTCTGGCGTAGAAAGTTATAAACCTGCCAGTGTGGTATCATTGGTAATTTTTGTATACATACTAAGCAATTAACTTTATTATATAAAGTGCCAATTGCTTTCTCAATTATGACACACAAATTATTTAAAAAACAACAATTTTATATTCGATGAAAATAATTATTTGAAATCTCATGGATTTGTAAAAAGTATGGATCATAAATGAATATTTGACATGTTTTGTTAATCTAATGAAATGACAATTTGTGATCCACATTTATAATCTAATTTTCAAAAAGATTGTTTGTTTAATAATCGTCCTGTTATATTCTGCTTCAAGAAAGAATTTAATTGATAACAATTAAAGATTGAGTAATATTACGTGTCCTTGACGACATTTTTTAACCTACCTGTTTTTACCAGGCTTGACAAATTTGACCTCAGGTACGCCCAGAAGACACGGAGATTCTGTTCCGTAATTTGTCATGTTCGATTAATAAATTTCTGAATTCCATGTCACATGTTGGGGAAAAAGTTTAAAACAAGTTCTTCAAATAGAACTGTATATACTATACTCTAAGCAACATGTATTATGAAGGTGTCACGCGGCAACTAATCAAAGTTAAAAAAAGTTTCACTTGTATGTCCATCACCAAACTGCAGTCATTTGTTTAAATAATAACATATGAAAATATTGCTTTCCATTTTTCAAATTTCTCATCGGGTTCTGTAAATATTATATACTTTGTAACTTTGCAATCCGTAACAGTGAAATCGAACATCCAATGAAAACGATTGCATCGTTATAAATTCCCCATGTATCGGGAAAATTCATTTATTAACATATGTTTCTGGCATTGTTGACAATATGCATTCAAGTTGAGAAATTATGTTTATTTTACCAACAGTTTTAATTTCTTGAAATAGACGACCTGGATGATCGATAATGGAAATTGATACCTAAATCTATTATATAAAACTGTGCTATAATGCCATGGGGAGATAGGTGGTTAATATATAATTCATGACAACATGCAATATTAGGCGTAAAAATCAAATACTTTTGATTCATCAGTCCTTGATATCTAACAACTTTCCATTTTGCAAATTAAAACCAAAGCAATTTACCATTATAACAATGCAGATTTTAAAAGATGTGAGGAGTAGCTTTTAGTTCAATTTCATTTGACAAGTCAAGCGATTGAAGTTCTCTTTTTTTTATTAATATCTTTATAATGCATTTGAAGAGAATAGATCGCTCAATAAAACGAATAAATACTGGAGATTCCATTTTGTTTACGTTACTATATTTATCGGTGTTGATTTCATTGGGATATACGTATTTCACCTGTAGTGCCCTAATTGATAATTATCACAGGTAACAGTGATTAAAGCAAAGAACAAAACTTACATTTCGATCGAATCTTGTTTTTGTCTCGCCGGCATTGTAGGTGAAGATTTGTTTTATAGAGAATGACGAAAAGTTCACTAAATATTTCTTTCAAAAAAGCCTTTCAATGTCAGCCAGGTATTACGTGTGTAAACATCCTGTAAACATTACCAAATTCGTCATCCGGGGTCTTTGTCACGTATTATATATATCTCAAACAATTTAACTCTATTTTATATTAATCTTTTCTTATCAAAGCGCCGCGAGACATTTAAAATACATATACATGTATATGTTTGTACAATTTTTACAAGTCTTACTGTACTTAATGAACCAATTATTGTACACACAAAAAAAATAGACAATATTTTCTTACCTAAAGTAGGATTAATATCCTTTTCTTGCACAAGCATTCGAAATATTTTTTTCCAATACAAAATCCTTCAGACTGCTAAGTTTTGTGTAAAGCTATATGAACGATAAGTTTGCTGCACAAAGAAGTATTTGTCCAAATCACTTAAGGAATATTGAAAATGGTTCGGGTCAGCGTTACTTTGTAAGATTACGATACAGAATCGTGAAGACCCGTATTAATAGAACAATCAGAAAATGGACAGCATTGTACAGAGTTTTCCTTTTTTCAAACAATGAAAATTTGTCATGAAAGAGGTTTTCTTTGATTCAATTAATAACATTAAGCGTTTACTAACTAAGCATTGAATTTCGTTTGTATTCAAAACTGTGACTTCGAAACGAAGAACATAGATACAAACGCTGGTCCTTTGCTTCTGCCTTTTCATGTGAGTGTTATGATTTTGTGTAATTAATTGATACACAATATTCTTTTTTCTCCATCTTTTTCTGGATATTTCCTTTCAAAAATATAGGGAAGTTTTGGTATCTATAAAACTAGTTTAACCCCGTCACGTATATGTATACATGTAAGGAACCCCGTAAGTTGTTTTAAATCATATATTACATCTGTATTCAGAGAATTTGGTCTTGATGGCAGGTCTATGATACTTTATGTTTAATTCTTTAACAGCTTTTTTATACCAGGAATGAAATAGAGCTTCACATATTGTAACTACACATGATAATTGCCGAATACTATATATTAACCCCTAAAAGATATCTATGAGACTACGAAGAAAATGTTAAATAGAAAACCAATGGGCTCTTTTATACAACAACAATCATTATATATCAAAACAATTATGGCAAACGGCAAATAAAGAAAACAACTGTATTACTGACATAGGGACAAGCACATAAAGAATGTGACGGGGTTAAACATGAGTTTTATTGTGTGTTTGTTTATTCCACATTGGCTAGAGGGGGGGGGGGGGGTGTTGAGGTCTCACAAAACATGTTTAACCCCGCCGCATTTTTGCGCCTGTCCCAAGTAAGGAACATGTAGCCTTTGATAGTCTAGATGGATTTTTTACTTTTGGTTCATTTGTATGTTTCGGAGTTAAGTGTGGCGTCTATTTCGATGAACTAGTACACATTATTGTTTAGAGGCTAGCTGAAGCCCGCTTCCGGATGCGGGATTTTCTCGCTGTGTTGCAGACCCATTGGTAGCTTTGGGCTGTTTTCTGCTTTTTGGTCAGGTTGTTGTGTCTTTGGCACATTCCCCGGTTCAAATCCCTATTCTATTGTAAGCTTTGAACCTCCCATCTTTAAAATTTATACTGTGATATGCTTTAATCGAGACATGGAGGACCCTTTGAACTTCTAGGACAGATGTCAATAGTTACTTCGTATAAACATACATATGATATTATTGACAAACTTTTATTCATTTTAGTCAAGACTGTGGGCAAAGCTCACATAATGAAACCCCGCCACTTCTTATGCATACTTTACTTAGTAAATACCAAAAATAATTCGTATACAAAAAAAGGAGATGTACAAGTTTTAACAAATACTAAGGAAAAAAACAAGGCAACACTATAGTGTAATTACAGAGGTCCAAATCTCATAATTCGAATAAGGATATAAAAATCAACTGATGGAATAGCAAAAACTTCAACAGGAGCAAGATATCCTCTTGCTTATACAGGGTGAGCGTCTCCTGATATGCATGCATCAACCACCGTGCGAATCCACACTCCGTTTGAATCTCAAAATCGGGAGTAGGACACGCTTAGTAATATTACAGATCAGACGATTTTTCTGATTTCTTAAAATATCTAACACCGCGAAGACATGTAGCTAGTGAGTAGAAAGACAGACACATCGTACCGATCAACCTATTTGTAAAACTTATGTAGTGTCGATTTCAGTCATTTTTCCTCATAACTCTGTTCAAGCAGTATTTGTGTAAGGATAAAAAAATAGGATACACACGTGTTGTGTAGTGAGAGGATATGACAATGTCCTTGTCATGCTAAAGTAAACCGCCAAAAAACATTCGGATGAAGAAAATCAATTAGGAATTTCAAAAGTACACTACGTGAGTAAGATTTTGAGAGTTTCGCATAATTTGTCAAGCAGTTCAAAGGCAGTAGCGGATACAAAAGTCCGTCCGACTTTAGAGCACTAAGTTACTGTCTAGGACGTAAAACAAACAACATCGATCGTATACCAAAAGTGGGAAGGACGGGGCTCATTTTCATTCATAAAAAAATCGTTTGCACTGAGGAGGATGGACTCCAAAGCTGCATAAGTTATTTACTTGCTACGTAATAGGGTTTATTTTTGATTTTATGCATTGTTTTACTAGTTTTGTAAACATGCGATAATTTCATCGGGGTATAGATGTGCATTTATGAAAAAATAAATGATAATCCTATACCTCCTGCTTTACAAAAAAACTCGGGTATAAAAACATGGTACAATGATGAATTGATTAACAATTCTTACTATCAGACAAAGGTTTTGGTAACCTTATACCATGTTGAAACAAAATATGTGGGACTGCGACGGGAATACTACTCTTTATAATAAAATAGAGAATGGAAATGGGGAATGTGTCAAAGAGACAACAACCCGACCGAAAGAGTAAAAAACAGACGAAGGCCACCAATGGGTCTTCAACACAGCGGGAAAATCCCGCACCCGGAGGCGGACTTTAGCTGGCCCCTACACAAAAATGTGTACTAGTTCAGTGAAAATGGACGTCATACTAAACTTCTAAACATATAAATGAACTAAAATAAAAAAAAAAACATACAAGACTAACAAAGGCCAGACGCTCCTGACTTGGGGCAGGCGCAAAAATGCGGCGGGGTTAAACATGTTTCGTGAGATCTCAACCCTCTCCCTATACCTCTAGCCATTGTAGATTTAAAACACACAGCAATAATGCATGTATTGATTTCAGATCTGCAAAACGCACTGATTGTTTGCCTTTTTCTGTTACCTTTTTTTCTCATTACCATTTCACAGAAAAATTCCTTTAATTATAGTTGTAAACATTTGGCATCCTGCTGATCATTTATATTAATTAATGTTATTGTCACTGGTATTGATTTATTTGTCTCTTTGTTTGCAGACTGATATCAAATTAAAAAAAGTATTAATTCAACGCGAGTATACACATTGCTTATGAAAATTTGTCTAGTCTCGGTACATGGAGGCTGTAAGTTTAAACCGGATTCTGCAATTTATTTGAATTGTTACTTTCTTTTTTTTTTGTCACTACAAATTGATTATGAAGTACTGGTTTATATTGTGTACACTACAATGCAATACAGTTCATCTGGTAGGTTGTTTATATTTTTGCATTGAACATTCTATTAAGTTTAGGACTGTATAGATTCGAAAGTTGCGTATAAATTAGTATATATAATTCAAGTCGATCTGACTATCTAGAATATACAATGCACATTTAAAAGAAAATAAGAAAACATATACCAAACAATATGAGAATATAAAGTTATCCATCTTCAATCTCCGTTTCTAAACGCTAAAGTGTAATTATTCCTATTTTCAATTGATTTTACGCGCTTAAGTGCTTTTTTGGATAAGAAGCCTACCTCTGAATCGATAAATCGCGTTTAACTCGGGCCAGTAGAAGAGTATTATTTTCTTTTTAAATCTTCCCGAGTTTCTCACACCTGAGTTTCTTGACAATGTAGTGCAGGAGTAACTTTTGTAACTTTTGTGATCACATTAAAATACGTACAGTGAAGAGTAATGTTTGAATCTGTCAAATAAAGACGTTAGTCTTACTGAGAAAGTACAAAAAAAGTGTTACAATCAAAGATACACCAAGGAATTCAAGAATGGAAGAAGAATAAACCGGTGGATACCGTTAAGTTCAAGGACCGCCACTCTCAAACAGACTACGATAATTGAAATTGTTTACTATTGCTATTCTTATTCCTACTATGCGGAATATATAGCGTAGTCTTTAAACAGACTGACAAAATGCTAGGATTAATCAGTTTAATGCTTTTAAGCACACGTGGGTAATGTCG